CCCCCTCTGCCCCGCCGCCCCTGGGATGACTTGATTTTGCCTGCTGCGCAGAGAACTGGTCGCGTCATCGGCCAGCGCCTCCCCCCGCCCGCCAGATAACTCGGGCTTTTGCCGCAAAGTGCGAAGGCGATGCCTGATCATTCCCCCGACCTGCGCCCCCGGATCTCCAGCGGTGTGAGTTTCGAGCTGGGGGTCGCGGGCGCGGCATGGCTTCGCCAATCGGCGGGGGGCCTGGCCGGCCAGAGCTGAGGCGCCGCGAGAGGGCATGCTCGCGCGAAAGGGAGAGGGAGAGAGAGAGAGAGAGAGAGAGAGAGAGAGAGAGAGAGAGAGAGAGAGAGAAAGAGAGAGAGAGAGGAAAAAACAAAGGGAGAAAGGGAGAGAGAAACACAAAATATGAGGAACCCAAAAAAACAAAACAAAAACATTGAACGAGAGAGAGAGAGAGAGAGAGAGAGAGAAAAAAAGAGAGATACCCAAATATCCGACGATTCGTTTTTGCATCTGGGCGTTTTCCTTGACGTCGGTCCCTGGCGCCCGGTATCGGGCCCCAGGACCATCGGGCACAAGGTTGGGGCGGAAGACTGGCCCCGCGGGAAAGTGGTCGGAGCTTCTGGAGCCGCGGATAGAAACACGCACAGATAAGCTAATCTGAGGGACCTTTGGATTGTTGGACGAATTCGTGTCGGCGGCCGCCCGTGTATTTGTGTCCAGCGACATCTTGCCGACGGGCTCAGTGGTTTTTAGTGGTTTTACAGTCTTCCTCAGGGTGTCTTTAGGTTTTCGATGCGAAATCGAAGTCAAGCTTGTTGAACAAAACGACGTTGTAGGGTTCCTTAGGTCAACGCCCTGACAGTTTGTTTGCGATGGAAACGGCATCCCCTTCCACTCTCTGGGTGCACGCCAACCTTTCGGTTTGCCCGCTCATCTGGCACCATCCGTCTTTCGAGTGGGGGATCGATTGCATAATCGATGCACACCAACATTTATTTCCCGTCGAATCTACGGAACATGCCTACAATGCTCCGCAGATCCACCGAATACTATACGTATTTTCCGGGGCTCGGCGAGAAAATCAAATTTGGGGTGAGTCCACTATGTAGTTGATCCGTTATCCGACTCTTTGGGCATCGTGCTTGTCCAGGGGCTTCCCATCCCTGGAACTTCCGCCATCCGCCGAGCCACATTTAGCAACGAACATCCATCAGCGGCGGGCTGGAGGCCCAGGCCACATGGCCTTGATGCTGCCTCGGGCCACAGGGGCTGACAGAACACAGGTCATCGATTCGGTGCACACCAGCCGAGAATAGTTAGTAAATCAGGCGAATCAGACTAATGCGAAGAGGGAGACCCAACTTCTGTGCGGGTTCGAAGATGTGCAGTGCGTTCCTTTTTCTATGCGGGGGGGTCGAACGGTCTCAGCTTGTCCCCAGCTGCGTGCTCGAGGTGAGGCTCTCAAGTGCGGATGTCAATTTGGTGTTCATGCGCGTGCCCGTTTGTGATATATTGCCTCCGTCGCCTGGCGACACGCCGGCGACCCCTCGCGGCGACCCATGCCTGCTGTACGTCGCGCCGCGCTGCTCGTATCCAAAACTGCGGGGAAATTGCGGGCTGTCCGTTCTCCCTCTCGAGCCGCCTACGGCCCCAGCGGGCGAGCTCGTGTGCCTCCTCGCCCATGTCCGCACACCCCTCACCCAGGTCGCGCCCCACAGGGAATTCCACCTGCGGCCCCAGCGTGTAAGTTGACATGCCTCACCCGCCAAGTCCAGCACTCCACCCCCTGCCTTTTCCTTCTCTACGCTGCCTCACGAGTTCTCAGGCACACGCCGGCAGTACGTTTTCCAGCCGTGGCCCCAGAGGTACAGAACTCTTCCCCACGGATAGTCTTTCGCTCCTGGTCAATTTCTGATCGTCCCAGAGCCCGGTAACGGGCCTTGGAGCCCGAAATCCAGGAAAGACGCCCGGATGGAACAGAGTAGTCGTCGGATATCTGGTTGTCTCTCCATCTTCTCTCCCTCTCTCTCTCTCTCTTTCTCTCCCTCTCTCTCTTGCTCTCCCTCTATCTCTCTCTGTCTCTCTTTCGCGCGAGCAAGCCCTCTCGCAGTCCCTCAGCTCTGGCGGGTCGGTTCTCCCGCTGACTGGCGAGGCCGTGCCTTGGCAACGACCCCCTGGTAAGACAGGGGGGGACAGGGAGGGGCTTGTCAGGCTGGGCCAGCCGAGCGTAGGGAGCGGCCACGTGGCATCCCTGTGATCCGGGCGTGTGTTTTTTCCTCAGATGAGGGCCCTGCATTGGACCATCACAGATCGATCCGGCTCCAAAAGCGCAGCAGAGAGGTGGCGTCTGCCTAGACCTCCCAGGTGGGTTCGAAGTGGACGGCGTCGGAGGACCGCGCTGCGTCGCCGATGCATCGCCAATTCGGCTCGACGTGCACGCCGAAGGCGGCGACATATCTCCGACGTCGACGGTGCATCGCCGATGCGTCGGCGATGCGTCGGCAATGCGGCGCGATCTTCCGACCCCATCCACTCCGACCCGATCTGGGAGGTCTTTAGTCTAGGGCTCTGGTCTTGATGTTTCGCAGTGCTGCATGTTTTCGCAGCGTCGGATTTCAGGGATAGGGGGGCCTGGAGTACAGCAGAGCAGAGTGCGGCGCGTCTGCGCGCCCACCGACAATGCCCCTTCTCCATCCCCCCTCCTCCTCCTTCTCCTCCTCCTCCCCCTCCGCCTCGTCCTCCTCCTCCTCCTCCTTCAATTGCTTTTGTGGCAGGCACCTCCCTGCCCCTGCAGCTTTCTGGGAGCACCTGCTCCCATCTCCCCCCCGCGGCGATGGTGGTGGCGGGGCGGCTCCACTGGGTTCGGAGGCACATCTTGCAAGGCGCCTGCACCCACATCCCGTTCGGCTCGGCCTCATTACAGGGGAGGTCCAGGGTCAAGATCGAAATGGATCCTGCGGGTCGTGCCATCGACGCGACCAATGGGGACGTGCTGCTGAACATCCTCAGTTTCATCGAGGGCCTCTTGCGTACGCATGTGGCAGTGGACCACGGGCATGGGCACCCCGAAGGGCGCCAGGAAATTGGTTTCTGGCTTTCTGCTCCCAAGCTGGCCCAACCTCGAGGCAACGGTGCTAATGGTGGAGATGATGGTCCTGCTGGCCCCCGTGACGGTCCTGGTGGTGGCCAAGGCGGTTCTCGGCAACTATGACCAGGGGAATGGTCCTGGCGGTAAAGGTCCTTGGCACGGACACGGTGGCGATCCATGGACTTCCTCGTGCCTGCCAAAACGTCCACGACAGTGCGCAGCACTTCCGCGGATTCCTCAGTTCCCGTACGACGTCGACGCAACCGCGTTCTCCTGCTCGTCGCTTGCTGCTCCTGGCACTGATGGTTGCGCGCTTCTCGCCGCCTGGCCTCCGAAGGACACACGCAGAGATATTGCGGATGCGGTGATGTATGATGATGGAGATAAGGAGACGGCGGATGTTCGGCTGATCCAGGTGGGCCTGGTCGAGCAATCTTCGCTGCCCGCTGTGCAGTCTAGTGTGGATGAGGTTCGTACTCCTGTCGGTGATGCACCATGCGAGCTTGCGGATTCTATGGTGTACGAGTACGGCGATGAGGAGACTCCTGGCAATTGTGCTTCAGTGGCTACTCTGGCAGTTGTTCGTGCTGGCCCCGAGCCTCGGTCTGACTCTTATCTTCGCAGCGCGGCTGGCATGCCCGCCGATCCGACGAGAGAGCTGACGAGGATGTTCGGGAGCTCTGAGGCCTCCCTCTCTCCGCGGCTGGTGCGGGAGATCATCTTCAATAATCCGGGCCCAGGGCCTGGGGGCTGAGGAGAGTGTTGAGGAGATGACTCAAGTGTTCCATTTGTGTGGCCTTTTTACTCGTTGCCCATCGAGCTGTTCATTGGTCGATCTGTGGTGGCTCTGGAAACATCTACACATTGGGCGTTCAGGTAGAGTTGATATGCTGCGCCTGGCGACTCGTTGCACCTTGCTGTGTATCCTTCTGACGAGATGACTGTCGTGGACGCACAGCTTGTTCGGGAGATCGGCGACCCATCGAGTACGCGGCAATTTAATGTACGTTGTTGGCGCATCAGGCTCGAACGGAACTTTGAATGGGCGGTGCTTCTCTCGAATTTTAGTAACTTATTTGTGTTTACGGGTTAGTGTCAGGGCCTCTCACTTGGAATTTTTTTTCCGGATTTGAGTATCTTTACTTACGGGGTGGTGGTAGGGCCACTCACAGGGACTGGGAAATCGTTTCTCGGAGTGGAGTCTCTCCTGATGGGGTGTTTCTTGGGTCACTCACATGGACTGGTCCATCACGCCTCGAATGGAGTCTCTGCTTATGGGGTGGCGCTCGTGCCGCTCACATGGACCGAGCCGCCAGGTCCCGAAATGGGGTGTTTGCTCATGCGGTGGTGCTCGGGCCACTCGCACGGACTGGGGCGGCAGCGGAGCGGGCGGTGGAATGCCGCCTGAGTTTGGCGCTGTGCAGGGCGAGGGGAAACACAACACGAAAGCTTTTCCTCCTCCCCCTCTCCGTTTTCTCCCGCGTCTTCGTTGGTTGTGCTCCCTCCTCTCGTTCTCGTTATCGTTTTTCTTTTCTCCTTCTCCTTCTCCTTCTCCTCCTTTCGGTTCCTTCCCGTCGTCTTCGTCCCTCTTCCGCCTTACTCGTGCCAGCAGCCTGCAGCACCTCGTCCATGACAGACGCCAGTCTGTAGCCTGGCCGCTCTGCATGGCCAGCGCACGTTGGCGATTCTCACGTGAGGTGCCAGTTTCCTGCGCACTCGTGTGCACGGGGTGACCAGAAGGGGGAGCATGTTGGGGCCATCCTGGTGCTATCTCGGGGTCTCTTCGGGCCTTTCGGGACCTGTATGTGGGGCCTGAAACCTGGGAGGTCCGAGATGGCCAAGGAGGCGGACGACGACGAACGACGAAAAGGACCTGGAGCTTTGGAGCACAGCGGTGCCATAGATAAAGCCAGCTCTCCAGCTCCCGCGCCCACGCCCGCTCCTGTCGCCCGCTCCAGCGGCTGGATCTGGTGGCCCTCGGGCAGCAGCGATCTGACCGACCCGCCGCCCTTCGCCGCCCAGGGCGCGAGCAGGGCATGTGACGGGGGAGTATCGGACGGGCTCAGCCTGGAGATCCGAAGGTGCAAACAAACCGTGAGAATCATTGCCGGAGCCCCAGAACCCATCTCTCCATGACACTTTTTTCGAGCCGGGGCCGAAAGCATGCGAAAGCGCCCAGTCTGAAAACCTGCATCGCCGTGATCTCGGGGAGGACCGAGATAGATCGCTCCAGAGCGTTCTGGTACATCCTCCAGCGCCGCCGGATCTCAGAGATCCCCGATTTGTCCGGGTCTGATTTTGTCCCGGCTTAGGTTTCGTCTTGAAGTAGGCATGGGGGCGGGTCTGGCTACGCGTAAGAAAGGTAGTTGTGGCACAGGATGCGCGGCAGACGCCTCGGGGGGTCGATTGACTGCACTTACAGAAGGTTTCCGATGTCTTTTCTAGTTTTGCTGGAGGTTTTCGTGCCCCTGGATGGTTTCCATTAGCTACGCCTTGTCGAGAGTTTTCCGGCGAGCCCAGAGTTGTCCCAAACATCTGCTTGAGGCCCGAGTTCAGCTAGATGTAAGAGTCTTGGCCTCCTATGTGGGGTCTGGACAGATGGGGTCGGAGGATCTCTCCGCATCGCCAGTGCATCGGCGATGCGGCTCGATGTGGAGCCCGATCTACTTCACGTCGGACGTCGCCGGTGTATCGCCCACGTCGCCGATGCACATCGCCGACGCATCGCCGATAGGTCGCCGATGCCTCGCCGATGTATCGGCGATGCGGCGTGATTCTCCGACCCCCTCCACTCGGACCCCATCTGGGAGGCCTCTGAGGAGGGACCCTTCGCCGGGGTGTCCTCTGCTGCGCGGCTTTCTGGGGACGCGGGGGGGGGCCGGACCCGGGCACGCGGGCCGCTGCAGTCGCATCGTGCGCCACGGTCGGCAAGGCGCGCAGCAGAGGCCAGTTCGGCCGACTCTTGCGCGTAGCGGGGGGGGTCGGGAGTGGCACCGAATGGGAGGAGCCGAAGAAGAAGAAGAAGAAGAAGAAGCAGAAGCAGAAACATAATGATCAGCTTAGTCATAGTAGTAATAATAATATAACAATAATGTATACTAATTATAACAATTTTTATAACAGTGATAATAATAAAAGTAATCATAATAATACTAATAATAACAATGATATTAATAAGAATAATAATACTAATAATAATAATAATATTATTAATAATAATAATAATAGTAATAATAATAAACAAGACAAACTTCAGCTCTCGGATGTCCGCGCGGATTTCTGAGATCGGCGCTTGACCCGGCAGGCGGGAGTATTAAGTCAGGCCTGTCCCTCTACAGGAGGAACATTGGCATGTAGTTTAAAAATAGTCAGGGGACGATTTGCTGACTATTTTTGACGATGTTTGGAGCATTTTCGGGGTATTTCTTTTTTTGTCCAAAATCCCCATGTAGGGGGACAGGCCCGACCTAACGGGAGTGCGACATGTCATGCCTCCCTGGGACGGGCATCCCAGGTGCGGCGGCGAGCCCGGGGCCTGGGAAGCGAGAGGGGACGGGCTTTTCTCGGAGGGCGCGGGGACTTCTCAGAGGAGCAGCTCGTGGCTTCGGAGGAGGCTTGCTTGAGGCTTCTCGGGAAACGCCAGGGCCTCCGAGAAGCCCCGACGCCCGAGAAGGCCTGCCCCCTCTCACTCCTCCCGTGGGGTCGCCGCCGGCAGGTGGCCGAAGAGTTTTCGTCAGTACCGCTCTTCGCCCGCCAAGCTCTCCAGGGCCCCAGGAAGGCGTGCCCTCGTGCCCGTGCGCCGCACCGCAGTCTCGCCCGTCGGCGCCTGGCTGGCAACCAGCGCTGCCGACGAGGCAATCGACCTCGGCGGTGGCCCCTTGCCTCTTTTTCCCCAGATCCCGCCTTTGTAAACGTTTGGCCCGCGGGTTCAGGGCTGCACCCTCCCATCTCCGAGGTTACCCCTTGTCTCCTGATCAGGGATCTGGGACATGAGGCCCCTGTGGGCATACGGACCTCGTGTGGGCCGATGTGGTTGTCCTGTCTCTTTCCTGGTTGGAGCCTACACTACCTCATCTCCTTGCCAGAGCCATCCTGAAGTCTCTGCCCATCTTGTTTCCTTGGCCAGGCGTGACTGGCACTCTCTCACGCATCCGCTTGCTGCTAAGCGCTTCCGGGATTGCCACACGCTCTTGTCAGCGATTCTGGGAGGAGCATAATGTTGTAAGGAAGTACGCGTCGGAGGGACTGGTGTTAGTTCGCAAGGATCAAGAGCACAGCCCAGTATCGATATCGGCTCCATCTGTGCCCGACTGAGGCGTGGGTACTTCTACAGATGAGCGGCGAATGTACCTCACGAAGAGTCTTTTGCACGTGGCCATCAGGGCCGTATTGTTTGTGGGGCGGGGCGATGGCTCCGAAAACGTTCAATGCGAGTGCCAGTGGCCGGGACCCTGTGTATAACCAATTGGGTGTGCTCAGGAGTTTGAGCGTCCACGCTTATGTGGCAGCGTGCGCCGATAAGGAACAGAGGAGGGAGGGAGGGAGGGAGGGAGGGAGGAAGGGAGGGAGGAGAAGTATGAGGTGGAGTCGGAGGATGGTGAAGAGCATATGTCGCTACGAGATGACCGTCTATCTTCTTGATGTTGCGTCGGCCGAGCTCTTGTCTGGTAGACTGGTAGACGCGGTACTGCAGCTCCCAGTCGCACGCTTCCAGATGACAGAGCAGACAGGGGGCAATAAGATGGGATGCAGTAGTCACGTCACATGAGAAACTTGCGTGTTGACAGCAGGTGCCCCACAGAAGCTTTAGTTCCGCCAATGGACCTGGGGGCCCACAAACGCCCTGTGGCACATCAGGAAGCGCCAATGTCGACGACAGAAGTGCCCCCAGGTTTTTTTGTAGCAACATTTATTATTGTATGCGTCTACTGTGTGGGAGTACATTCGGACCGAGGTGTCAGATCGAGATCGGCTCGGGGAGGGTATACTCTAGTGTTCTTCGTGCTTGTTGGTTCTTCTGGTGCATCCTGGGGAGGGTACCGATCTGTTTGTTTTAGCCGCCAGAGGGTCCCATGTTCTTGAGGGATGTTCTTCTGGCCTGGGTCCGACTGTAAGGAGCGAGGAAGAGCAGCGGCGTGATGGGCACGAGGGCAGGCAGCAGCGGAAACCAAGCAGAGAGCTCCGGCACCATCGTGCCGAGGATGGTGTGGACCGGAAGAGCAGCGCATGCCGAAGCTCACCGAGCGCGTTCCACTATTCGCAGAGTGTCTATTCGCAAACGCCCGAAGAACAAAATGTCGTTCTCTCTGTAATGGTTCGTAGATCTCCCGCGGCGGATCCAGGCCAGTTGCGACCAGCTACTTTCTGAGCATTAGAACGCGCTCGTCGAGGAAAAGCAGCGCATGCCGAAGCTAAGGTCCCAGACCCTCCAGCACAGCCTTCACGCGGAAGGCTCGAGGGGCAGAACAGCGGATGGTCGCAGTCCCTGCAGTCATGGGTGCAGTGTGGCACACGGGTGGCCTTTTGGGGGGTGGGGTAGGGGATAAGAAGACATGGTGAGAGAGGGGCAGCTAAGTGCACGTCGGGATGGAGTATTTCCGCTCCCGCGCATCCTCTCAATGTCGGACACGCGTGCGTACATCTCGTTGGGGTCCAGCAGCCACCTCTCGGCCCCCCGCTGGAACGAGACGTCGTTGACGTGGCCACTCTTCCTTTTTCTCGGTATTGTGCCTGTTCCACTTCGTGCGCAGCATCCCCTGCTTCAGCCCCTGGGTGTGGCCGTGACGCCGACCCGCGCCCGCTGCCAGGGGTGCCCCACTGGCTGCCCTCCCCTCCCTCCCTCCTCCCCCGCGGCCGCTTTCGCCTATCTGCCACTCCTCCTGACGACGGTCAATTTGCGCTTCCGTTGCCTGGACCGCCTGAGCGCGCGTGCGGACTGCCTCTGCCGCGCTGCGACGCTAAAAAGCGTACATCTCGTTGCGCTCTTCACGTTCTTCTTCTTCTTCTGGTCGTGGGGGGGTCCAGTTGGGCCGGGCTTCGGGGGCCTGCGTGGGGGCCTGGGGGTGTCATCCCCCGGGGGCCCGCGTAGGCCCAGCTGGGGCCCAGGTACGGTAGGATCATGCCGTTTCGACGCGGCGGCGACGCCCATGCGGGCGTTCAGGGTTGCCAGGCACCAGCGGTCTGAAGTTGGCTCGTATGGAGCGATGTACAGCTTCGTGGGAGTATTACAGTGGGAGCCCATGTCAAGAAACACCCTGCTTGCCTCCAGGGTGCCCTGGGTTTCTTGGGTTTCGATGGTTTTGCTATGGGAAGCGTGGCGTTCCCTCACCAAAAATCAATGCACGTCCTGGGATCTCAGGGTTGGGTTTCTTGTGGAAGGTTTCTTGTGGTCGGGCCTCCATTGCATTTTATCGCCAGTCCACTGGCCGACGCCGTTTTGCAGCCTGCCACTTGCTGGTGAGGGCGAGGCGATGTGCGCGGGCTTGCGCCACATGGCTTATCCCACACAGCTTCCATTACACATTATATTGCACCACGTAGCTTGCACCGCCTCGCTTGCGCCACATACAGTGGGGGCGCGCATCAAGAAACCATCTGGTTATCGTCGGGATATCCTTTGTTTCTTCGCTCCGCGCGCTGCGCGGTGACGTTCCGCAGCCGTTGAAGAAGCTGCTGCGTTCAGGGTGCTCCAGGTTTCCCCTCAGGTGCATCTTGTGCGCGGGTTCTCAGGGTTCGGTTTCTTGCGAAGATGTTTTGCGGCCGCGCCCGCACTGTAGCTTGCACCACATACAGAACACAACATACTTAGCGACAAGTAGATTGCAACACGTGGCACCTGCCCCAAACCAAGCCAAACCAGATCCCTAATCAGGCACATTCTGAGGACGCCTCAGTGTCTCAGGCGGGGCGCCCGGCCAAACCACGCCGAACAAGGGGCCAAACCAGGCAAGTTCCGACGAGGAAGTCCCGAGCGAGACGTCCTAAGCCAGGCTCCACCCACTCTTCTTATCAAGAGGCACGCACGCCGTAGCTCCTGCACGAGGGATCGGGCCGAACGACAGAGAGGATAGGGACAGGGGGGGTTACGAAATCTGCTGCATGCAGCTGGTTTCGGCCCCGCCGCCGGGCCCATTCCTCGATACATGGGCGCCTCCCGGCGCCGGGAGGCGCCGGGAAAATCAGCTGCGTGAGCTGATTCTCAAACCCGCCTTTTGCTATCCCCCCTTTCGCCCGGCCCGAGAGGGAGCGGCCAGGGAAAGGACGTAGAAGGGCCAGGGACAAGGAAGTCAGAGAGGCCCGAGGTTGCTGGGGTGGCGAACGACAAGGGAAGGGGCTCCGCGCCTCAGGGCCAGGCGGAGGTCAGGGAGGTCCGGATTGGCCAGGGAGGCGGACGACGTCGCACTGCGCTAAGCCAATCGGCCAGGGGCTAGGGCTCGGGCCCGACGACCTCGGCCACGGCCACGGCAACGAAATCAAGTGGCACGCGTGCCATGGCTCTTGCACATGACGGAGGGAGGAGGAGGAGGTGGAGGAGGAGGTCGAGGTGCTCCGAGATGGCCTCCAAGATGGCTCCAGAGAGCTCAAGACGGTTGAAGGTGGCCCCCATCATGCCTCCAGAAAGGCCCCAATAGGGCCACAAGACGGCCCCAAAAGCTTTCGGAGCACCCCCAGGACCCTCCCCGGACGCCCAAATCTGTCAAGTTGTTGCTTGACTCTTTTTTGGCTTTCCAATGGTCTTTTCAAGCCTTCAGGCTGGGCTGGCTGGGGTGGAGGGCGGTGCCGGTGCCATGCGTGCCGAATCAAAGTGGTCGGGGCGGAGGGGGCGCGCTGGCGTGGGGGGAGGGGGAGCTGGGGCAGCTGTTTTGGGGGGGAGAACGGGGGCGCCGTGCAGGAGCCGTACGTGCGTGCCGAAATAGCTCGGTCAGGGCGGAGGGGGCGCGCTGGCTGGGTAGAGGGGGAGCTGGCCTCGCTGGTGGGGGTTGGCGGTGCTGGTGCTGTGCGTGCGTGCCGAAAGAACCCCGCTAGGTCTTTAGACCCCCTCCCATCAGTTGGAAGCTCGTCATCTTTTCGGCGTTCTTGTTGACGGACTGGGATCTCACCAAAAGTGGAAAATTGCACCAGAGGAGAACCCTAACTAGTGGATGGTTTGACAATTTGGTAAGCACCACGCCTGGCCGCAGTTTCGCCGTAGGGCCCGAAGAGGCCCTATAGACTGATTCTTTATAAATATTGGAGCGGTTGTGACATTCTCACCTTTTCGGGCATCCGTCGGTTCCTCCAAGGTAGACGACCTCAGAGGGCCCGTCGACGGCCGTCTACAGCCCCACTACGGCCCCGCGACTGCCCGAAAAGACCTAGCAGACGACGACGAGGTCCCAAGACGGTCCAGTTGAGTTTCAAGACCGCTCCACGGGAGCCCAGGACAATCCCGGGACGGCCCGAATGAGCTCGCAGAAGGGAGGTCGAGAGGTGCTGGACGTGACGGCGTTTTTCTTATGCCTCCTCTTGCCAATGATTATTGTTATCAGCATCACCGTTCATCAATACCATCATGATCATCATCATCAGCAGGAACATCATCGTCAACATGCTCACTCTCATCATCCTGATCGTCATCCACATTGTCGGCATTGGGGCTTCGTTGTCGTCGTCATCGCCATTCGACCTGCCGGCACCCAGCTGGCTCTGCTGGCGTGGCGGTGGTATTTGCCGCAAGGCGTCCGGACATTCGCGGCATGGACTCGTACAAACACGAAAGATGCATGCGAACACACAGGAGCTGGCGCTCAGACGCGACAGTGCGTGCGTCCCTATGCCATAGAAGCACTGCGACGAAACACAAGCAGGTCCAACCTGTCCGGCGCAGCACACGAAGGATGATTAGGAAATGCACGATACAGACGGGACATGTTTTCTGTCATGCGATTCCCCTGTGATGATGAGCAAATGTTGTTGGAGAGTCCCAACAACGTTGTAAGCGTAGGTGGTCTAGTGAATGCTTCCTTTCCTCAACCACCGTCTACTTTTCCTTCTGGGAGGGGCTTATCTCTGCTCCTTATCGAAAGACACCCCCTCTCCTACCTGATTCGGGTCACAGTCGACGCAGTGATACCGCACCTTATGCGAGATCTCTGAGATCCCCGTGGTCACGTCTCGTCGTTCTACTCCTTCTACTCGTCGTCGCCCTGCACGTCCTCATCCTGCTCCTGGTCCTCGTCCTCCTCGTCCTGGTCGTCGTCCTCGTCGTCCTCGTTCTCGTCATCCTCCTCCCCTTCCTCCTTTTCTTCGTCCTCCTCCTCTTCCTCGTCCTTCTCTTCTTTCTCCTTTTCCTAGTCCTCGACCTCTCTCCCTCGACCTCGTCCATCTGCTCCTGTTCGTCCTCGTCCTTGTTGTCTTTTCCCTCGTTCTTGTCCGCGTCATCCTCGTCCTCCTCCTTGTCCTGCTCCTCCTCCATCTCTTCCCTCCTCCTTGCTGTATTTATAATGGGATCGATAGTGGGATCGATTCAGTGAGATCGATAAGGTATTCGATCGAGTGAGTTCAATCGAGCGAGATCGATTGAGTGATACCGATTGCTTGAAATCGATTGGTTGAGATCGAATCGGGAACCTGGCAATCGGGAACGCGGAATCGGGAACCCGGTAACCAAGACCCCGGAACCGGGAACCCCGGAATCCCGCGATCGGGAACGCGGAACCCGGGAACCCGGGAACCAAGAACCCGGAACCAGGGACCCGGGAACCTGGAACCGGGAACCCGGGAACCCGGCGGTTCATTTTCGCCAAGTTCTTCAAGATCCGCTCGGACCCCTTGTGCATGCACTGGGATTAAGGAATAAGTGCTCCTCCGCGGCGGCACCCGCCGCACAACAACGTACGACGACGACTATGACTACGGGGACGCGCAGGCTGGGGGGAGAGGGGGAGCGTGGCTGGCTCGGAGAGGGGTGGGCGGTGCCGGAGCCGCGCGTGCGCGGCGACAGAAAGCGGTCGGGGCGGAGGGAGCGCGCTGGCGTGAGGGGGGTACGAGGCCCAATCCCGGACCATTCCGCCTGCGCGATCCATCTAGACATCCAAGCCGTCAAGGCCATCTAGGTTCTTTTTGAGGGGGGGTGTCCCGAGCAGGGCGCTCGGATCTGCCACGAACGCATGTCTCTGTAGGGCCGCCTGGAACAGAAAATAATCACCCCATCAACAATAAACTCTTCATGATACGACAATTTCAAAAGATGACAAGACGAATAATTCGCATCTATGAAGTGTGATAGACAGTGGTGAATTCTAGACGCCTCGTGTATCCCCACCATCCACTTGACGCCGAGCGATTTGTCGCTACGGTCGCGATCAAAAACATATCCCCACCATCCCATCCAGAAACGATGTCCAGGCGAGTTGAGGTGATCAGGGAAGTGCGGGAGCAAAGAGGTGGACGGCCGAACCGTGCGAAGGAGG